TTCCATTTACAAGACAAGTGTTTATAAGAAAATTCTATTCAATTGGTAGACTCATAACAATTGAAAACAATGTTTTTGTTTGAGTTTGGGTTTGACCAATTTGTAAAAAAAAAAACAAAAACAAAAAAAACTAATTAAGATATGCGTGTCCATCAACCTTAAACAATAATCTTTGTCAATTTTATTTTTCAGTCTTTATGATGGTTGATACTTGCTCTATCTCTTACTGTTACATCCCCGGGCAACGCCGGGCTCTACTGCTAGTTTTAAATAAATATAATTTTAATTTACTGGACATGAATTTACATTCAAGAAATTTTAATGAAAGAAAATGGGTCAAACTTACCAGTAAGAACCTCACGGACACCTTCATTAGTGCCAATGAACACTGTGGGTTTGTTCAATATTCTTGACACAAATATCCTTGATTTGTATTGTTCCATATATTTATGGTAAAATTTTATTGGGTCCCTATAGAATTCAATGGACTTGTCCCCAACAATGGGCCAGCCCACATAACCGGGTAACTTGTTATTATTAGCCATATAGTGTATCACCTGGCCAAAAACATCCTGGAAATAAAGATAATAGCATTAAGAATAATTAAATAATAAACATTTTGTTAAAAAAAGATTAAAAATAAATAAATAATGTATATATATATATATATATATATATATATATATATAGATAGATAATATTAGTGGTAAATATACACATACATATGCAAAATATATAGATATATATAAACATAGGTGCATACACATATATGTATATTTTTAGAATAAAAAATTCCGAGAGGATAGAATCCAGGTAGAACTCAATGTCCAGGACAGAGTAAGGATATAATAAAAAGGCTTAAACACTAATATTCCATGGTCATAATTTATTCCATTGGAATCGTAAATACGATCCAATTCATCAGACCTACAAATTCAAAAAGAAAACAGAAAAAACAACTCCGGAAATAAAAACAGAATTTAGAGAGAGTCTAGAGAAGGAGGGAGATTAAACCTTAACAGAGAGAATTTTAGGAGAGGTGAGTGGAAGGGGTTTAAGTAAGAGAGATATGAATGTTGTCGGATGTCTAATGCATAAAGATACATTTCGTGGTGACATACACACACCATAGACATTTAATGTTGAAGATCAGAATAAGAGGGAGGGAAAGATGAGGTGGGGAGAGAGATGGGGCGAAGGAAAGTAAAATTGAACTACATTTACTGAAAGGGCCACTGTGTAATTGAGAAAATTTGACAAATTTAATATCGACTACAGGTTACAAATCAAATATAAACATATAAAAAATAAATATAACGATTATCTAATCTAGCAAGGACCTATATTTTTATGTTCAAAAACACATGCGAATACAAACATACACAATAACATATACACGTATATGCATACACATAGGCCTGTACCCACATACACATATACATATACCTATTTACACACATATATAAATATATCCACATATCCACACATATACATATCCATCTATATCCATATACACACACTTTTCACATATATATATACATACATACACATGCACACATACATATATATATATATATATATAGTTTATGCAAATTTAGGTAATCCGTATGGGTAGACCTGAGGAGGATGATATCCAGAGAGCTCAATGTAAAATTCAGAGCAGATATGTTTGAATAAAAGACAGACCACGTTAAGATTCCATGTAATAAGCTATTTCACCATAACCCCTTTAACAGGGTTCTGGATCATTAGACTTTACTTCCAAAAGCTGAAATGAAAATGAAAAGAAATTCACACGTTTTTACGGACCTCATCAAGTATATGCAAAGTTAGCTAAGGAGGAAGTGAGGTGGGAGAGGGGATATGAGTGTGTCATATGTATCATTTTAGTTTCCTATTTTAACCCCAGTGTGTCGGCTGGATGTTGCTCGGGTTCTATCGCTGTTCGTCTCTAGATAGTTAAGGGTTAGCGGTGGTGAAGAAGACGTTCCAACAACCCCAATAAATTATTGGGGTTGTTGGAAACGTCTTCCTTAATGTAGTCCTTATCGCTAACCCCTTAACCACCTTTTTTATCTAGAGACGAGACATCGTAATTTATTGGGGTTGTTGGAACGTCTTCCTTAATGTAGTCCTTATCGCTAACCCCTTAACCACCTTTATCTAGAGACGAGACATCGTGTAATTTATTGGGGTTGTTGGAACGTCTTCCTTAATGTAGTCCTTATCGCTAACCCCTTAACCACCTTTATCTAGAGACGAGACGCGTTAGATTTGAGCAACATCCAGCCGACACACTGGGGGTTAAAATAGGAAACTAAATGATACATATGACACACTCATATCCTCTCTCCCACCTCACTTCGCTAACTTTTGCGATACTTGATGAGGTCCCAAAAAACGTGTGAATTTTTTTTTTCATTTTTCATTTCAGCTTTTGAAGTAAAGTCTGATGATCCAGAACCCTGTTAAAGGGGTTATGGTGAAATAGCTTATTATATGGAATCTTAACGTGGTCTGTCTCTTATTCAAAAATATATATATATATATATATATATATATATATATATGCACACATACACATCCATACACATACACACACATACATACATATATACACATACATATACATATATATATATATATACATATATATATACACATCCATATATACATATACATATATACACACTTATATATACACACATACACACACATATCCACACATATATGCATATATATATATATATATATATATAAAAAAAAAAGAAGAAAAACCAACAATATACAAAAATACATACACACACATACATGTATATATACACACATACATCCATCCGCATCCAGTCCTTCATATATATATATATATATATATATATATATGTATATATGTATGTGTGTGTGTGTGTGTGTGTGAATAGTATAACTGTGCAGGAAGTGAAATTGGTGGGCCAAATTCAAATTCCAGGCTAGTCTGTTGCATTGACTTTCATATTAATGCCCTTGGGAAAAGTATGAATTTATCTCTTCTCCCACCAACTAAGAATTAAATAGTAGAGTAGATGGGACTCTCTAGCATTGGATGGCAGCGAGTCCAGGAGAATGATTATGCTAAATTCGAAACCATAGAGATGGTAACAAGAAACCATTCCATTATCTTTTCCAAAAAGTAGTGTTAAGTTATATGAGTATTTGTCTTTGATATTATAGTGCTTACATATTGTCCTGTGGAGTTATGCCATTGCTTTGTTGTGCAATTGTATGCATTCTGTTTTGGCCAATTCTGAGCATTTAGAGACTAGACGGTCACTTGATTTTTGATGTTTGTTGCATATCCTGTACATTGGGTTAGTTGTTGCCTTGTTTCAACAGTAATTGGTCTTAATATACTGATCTTGGGCAGCAGTAATAAACCATTCAGTCTTAGATTTTAGGCCAGCTGTTCTTAGACATCTGTTTGTTTGGGTTTTATTCACATTGACTCATTTTGGGCACTGCCTGAGTTGAGTTTTTTCTTCTCATTTACTCTTCAGCTGTTCAAAGGCTTGATTTTGGTTTTCAATTTTGTTATTTGAGTATAGAACGTGGCTGACTTATTTATTTTGATTTTTGGTATATTGAGGTCACTTCTGAATTTTATAATTCTTATTTGACTTGGTATCCTTACTGACTCTTAGATGTTTCAGCTGTGTGCAGATGGCCATGATTATCATCATGATTATTATTATTATTATTAGTAGTAGTAGTAGCATTATTCACCTGTACATTTTTGATTTTATGATAGCAGATACAAGTATTGAGATTTTGGCAATTTTGAGGGATTATTTTAAACTTGGTCTCAAAGTCTGCTAACAGAAGTTAGGAAGAGGAAGGAAATGAAAAGATATCTGACAATATCTGTTATGGTAAATTACCCATACACGGATGGACTCTTCCAAGTTACAAATAAAAACAAGTACTGCTTTTGTCAGAGGGAGTTTTTTCTCAACAGTCAACTCTGACAGTTTGAACTTAACATTCTTGCTTGTTTGTATATTATTGTATTATCCATGTGTTAACTCAAATCCACTCTTGTGTCTTTATTCTGGCCCCAACAAAGCCACAACAATGTCTAAGCTGGTTTAAATGTAAATTAAATGAATTCAAAGAAAGATTAAAAAAAAAAGTATTATTTAAATTTTTACATGAATATTTTTCAAAGACTAAGCAGGTTTTTGATAAGTATTTTTGTTTAATTAGTGTAACCCAATGTGATACTAATATTAAAAGATCTTTAAAAATTTTGTGTAGTTTATAATTTTTAAAGATAATTTGCCTTGGTCTTAATTTTTTCTTTTATTATAAGAAAAAATTATAGAATTTGACTAAAAGTCATGAAAATGACATCACTACAACAGCAGCATTTGAAAATTTACTCTTGTAAAAATTATGAAGAGAGCCATGGTTATCAGACTGGGCTACATTTGAAAGGTCAGTACGACTAAATTTTTAATTTTGCTACTTGTAGTTTTATAGACTAGTAATTAGAAGAAGGCTGGATGGATAGTTTAACAGTTATTGATGCTGAAAGTGAAGTCAGCAAGCTGTTCAAATCCTGGCCCAGCCTGTTGTGTGGTCACACTCATGCCCTTGGAAAGGTATAGGTTAAATAGCAGAATAAACTGAGCTTTTCATTTTTTTTAATAATTTCACCCCAAGCAAGGCAATAAAGCCATAAAGGCATAAGGGGTTACTGAGTCTTAGAGAATATGAGAAAAAAAAACCTATAAAGGAGAGAGAACAATAAAAGAATAGGAAATAACTATTGACATTGCATTTAAATTTTTGAAGATCAAAGTTGACTGGGAAGCAAGAAGCTGGAACTGAGTTCCACAAACAAGAAGAGCAATAGAAGAAACTTTTAGTGTAGAACTCATGGTTACATTTAGCCATTTCAACTGTAAAATGATAAGACCTTGCCACCAATCTGGCACTACACTTAAATTCATAAAGTTTAGGGCTTATGGCCATATCATGTTGAAATACCTGTTCCCATACATTCACAAAAGTTAAGCAAAACTGAGTCTGGTTAGTACCTAGATGGGTGACTGCTTGGGAATACCAGGTGCTTTGAGGTTGTATGTGTGGGTCATGTAATGGATAACAACTTGGAATTGTTAATCTGAGAGCCAAGTTCCAACTCCAGTTGGGTTCATTATATTCACTTTTATGCAAATACACTTGGGGAAGGTATGAATTCATTGCTTCTCCTCCCAGTTATGGTTTAATTATTATGACTTATTATTATCAATAAATCATTATTATTTAAAAAAAAAATTCTTACAATGTAAAAATATTTTCTGGCTTTAAATAACCTATAAATGTTAATAAGTCATAGATCAATCAATCATAAAGTTTAGTTACCATAGAGGGAAGTTCATGAGAACAATTATTCCATGGCCTCAATGTTTTAACTGTCTGAATGTTTTGGTGATCTGACTGATTTTCATTATGAGGGTATTGGGTTGGTAGTTTTCTGTTTGCTGCCTCTGACTTGTAGTAAGGAGCTCAAACTCTTTGGCAGCACTTAGAAAGGCTGCTCAGATCAACAGTCACATAATATTGGAGTATTTGCAGTGTCATGTTATGTATGGATAGGTATCCCTGCATGTATTAGGCAACTCTGAGGTCATATTATGCTTTAGTCTTAGCCACCTTCTGGCCAGTTTGTATTGCTATAGATGATAGAGAGAATTATTTTGGCTTTTTTCTTCTTAAAATAAAATGTTCCCTATCCTTGGGTGACAGCCAATTGTCTCTTTCCAGCCTTGACAGAATTCAAAAGCATTTATGTGGCCTTGTAGGTGAAGAATTATTTTCCACTCTACAATCCCTTTACCACAGAAGCAACATTTCAACCCTCTAACTATTCTATTTTATTTCCATGGAAAATGTTTTAACAAGTTACATTCACTAATTCTACCAGTTCAGACCTTTACAGCTAAGAGCCCTCACACCTTGTACACAGGAGAAGGCCATCCTTATTCTCTTCGAATTTCATTAGTAAGTTCCATTTAGACAACTTCTCCCCAAATGTCTCTGTTTTATGGAATAGACTTCTGAGTGGATACTTCTTCAACCAATACGATATTAACCTCTTCAAGTCTAGCATCAACCGTTATCTATCCTACATATCCTCATAATCTACAATTTTTACATCCATAAAACAATCCCATTTCTCTAACTTGATTGGCTCTTTGGCCTTATATCGAGTGAACAATAGCATAAACAAACTCTGGCAATCCTGAATATAATCTTTACAGTGGAAGAACTGAACATGAATAAAATAAATAAACAAAAAATAAGAAAATTTTTGTAATTACAACATTTAAACATTGTCAAAAAGTAACAAGCATGTGCCACTATTATATAAACAATAAGTTTTGTTAAGGTTTGAAAAAAAAATAACGACAAGCACTTGGAGAAAGTTTTCTACTTACATTGAAAAAGGCTGGAACTTGGCCAATTTTACATGATACTCTATGTGAATAACTATAGCTGTACTTGAGAACACAAAGCTCAAATGTAAAGTTACTCCCAAGAAGATGGATCAATACACAAATAATCTATTCATGATCTGGTCTTTACATTGATGTGTACAATGTAATATATTGAATAAAGTGATGGTAGTGAGTGAAGAACTGTTATTTGATAAAAATCAACGTTGTTGTGAATGCATACAAATGAAAAAGCATAAGGCTTTGATCTATGTATATATGTGATGTTATATCATTGATACAATATATATAAATAAATAAAATAAATAAATATGTATGTATGTATATGTGTGTGTATATATATGTATGTAAGTTTTCCTTTTGTCTTTATTAATATTTATATATATGAACATTTCTTGGACTGACCTACTTCTCAACATCTGACCAAATAACCAAATATCAGAAGTTTTTAAATTCTTTCTTAGTGAAGCCAAGAACTTTTTAGTTGTTTTCACACACACACACACACACACACACACACACACACACACACACACACACACACACACACACACACACACATATTTAAATATGTTTTTAATGGTGCAATAAACATATTATGGCATTAAAAGCAAGAAATTTTTTACTATAGGCCATGATAAATTTTAAAACAAAAACACAGCACCACAAGCCCAAGCAAACAGTCTCTTTGTTTACAAAGGGCGGGTTGCCTAGACCTGATGAACAGCATCTCCAACACCTTCAGATGGAATAACAAGTGTGCTCTGGCCAGAATAGAGAACTAGTTATAACTTTTATTATTATTATTTTTTTCCTGTCCATTCATTCATGTCATCTGCAACAGACTTTCTTCTCATAATTTGTTTCCCCGTTTACAGTTCTGATGGGAGGGGACAAAATCGGTTGACTTGTGTTCGTATTTTTGTTTTAAAATTTATCATGGCCTATAGTAAAAAATTTCTTCTTGCCTTTAATGCCATAATATATATATATATATATATATATATATATATATATATATATATATACACACACACACACACACACACACAGAAAAGACATGAGAAATTGGAAAAAGGTTTTGTGACAAATTTCACCTGTTAAGACTTCATCGGACTGGGTTTCTTGACATTGTTGTGACTAGACATGTGCATGAATGAGAGATGCTGGTAGTTTCAAAATTTTTTTTTTTGCAATCTAGCCAAATTCATCTATATTCTTTTTCTTTCAATCATCTTTGTTATTAAATATCCCACATTGTAATAACAAAAAATCTGCCAAGAATGGTGAAAGAACCTGATGGTAAATTTACTGTTGTTGAACTAGCAATTGAAACAGTTTCTAGATATTTTCATCTTAGAGAATTATTTTCTCTTTTAACTAGTGTAGCATTTATTATGTCAAAATTGTAGTCAGTTTTGGTATGGTGGACAACCAATGTGTTTTGTGTGTTATTTTTAAAAATGTTTCTTTTGTGTTAATATTGTCTTTTATTTAAACTTCTTGAGGTTTCTCCTATATACTCTTTCTGGCAATCCTTGTAAATGATAGAGTAAATACCGCCTTCAGGTTTTGGAATGTTGTTTTGTTATGTATTAATAAAGTCCTTTATAGTTTTAGATGTAGTTGTGACAAATTCTATGTTGAGTTTAGGTAAATTCTTTTTGATTGTAGTTGTGATAGTGTTAGTGGGTAGAATAATATATTTTTTGATTTGTTGGGTTTGTCATATATATATATATATATATATATATTTGTAATGTTAACGAACACTTATTACCACTTTTGTAATGTCAATAAATAATCGCTGTCACTTTCGTAATGCTCATTGTAGTAGAGACTTTGTAATCGCAGATACAACTATAGTAATGCTGTTGAACAGTACTGGTGTCAGATGCCTTCAAATAGCACTCACACTAATAGTACTTGCTCAATAACACTTGCTCGAAAATTAACCACCGAATAGTGATCCATATAGTGATCACTTAGATGTCATACTAATTTCCATATATATGTTTCCTTTACCATCACGTGATCCACTTATTCAAAATGGGATCACCTGTGTTTGCATGCTGGTGATCTGCGTTGAAACTCCATTGTTGACAGTGACACTTTATTCCTATATAACACCTCCCCCTTGAGATGACTTCCCCTGGAGTCTATATACCTTCGGCTTTGATTCAATAGTTAGAAATTGGCATGTTGGCATTCTTTTTCTCTTGCTATAAACCTTTGGTTCAACAATTTCTGATGGTGTGAGTACATTAAATGTGTCATACAGAATTTCCATTGGTACCTCTTTTCAGGAACTTTTAAATCAGTGAATCTACGTTTTAACTGATTAAGGTGTCACTTATGTTCTCACCTTTGTCCCTGTACCATGTATGTTATTTTGCCAATCCATTTTTTTTAATGATATCTTCCCAGAATTCCTTTCCACACTGATACATCTTAAAAATATCTTATCTCCAGGTTTGAAGTGTCTACCTGTATTGTTATTTCTTGATGTTCTCACCTTGCATTCTGGTAATAAGTTATTGAAAATGGACTTAATCTTCCTGGTAAACATAAATTCTGCAGGTGACATTCCAGACATGGTGTTCGGGTTTGGTGTTATTCGGTAAACATTCAGAAATTGCTGAATCATTACTTCATCTGACTCCTCTCCCTCTGAGATTTTTAATGCCCTTTTAAACATATCAACAAACCGTTCCACTTATTCCATTTGATCTTGGGTGATAATGGAGAGATGTAATATGTTCTATTGCTAATGATTTGTAAAAAAACTTAAATTCACTAGACATGAATTGAGTCCTGTTATCTGAAACAATAGTCAGGAACACCAAACCTTGGAAAAATCTTGTGTAGGAAATTTATTGTTACCACAATAGTTGCTCTTCTACATTTTAATGTTTCTGGCCATTTAGTGTAGATATTGACTACCATTACCACTTCCTGTGAAGTCTGTATGTATTCTGAACCATGGCATATCGGTTTTCGTCCAAGGTTGAATTTTGATAGGCGGTGACTTCACTGCCAGAGCACAACCTCTGCATGATTTCACTAAATTTTTAATATCCTTATCCATTTTTGGCCAGTAATCATAACACCTCATTAAGAATTTCATTCTAGAAATTCCTGGTTGTCCTCTTTTAACATACATCTTCACCACTTTTTTTGCATACATAAGTACATCATTAAATAATGAAAATGCATTATTTCCTTCAGATCTTAATTTCTCCTTCATTTTCATTATAAAGTCATCTTTTTCCACCTTAATTTTTATTTCCTCCAATGTTATGGCCAGTTCTCTTACAGTATTGTATAATACATTATTAATTTCATTTTTGCTGCAATTACTGTTTTCAAGTGATTCACAAAATCATGGTATTAGTCTAGACAATCCATCTGCATGACTTAATTTTTGGATGGCAGAAATTCCATTTTATAGTTATAATTCAATAGGATAGTTCCTGAGCACTGCAGTCTATTCACTAGATGTGTGGGAACACCCATTTTTGATCCATATATGGACAATAATGGATGATGGTCTGTCTGTAGTATGAATTCTCTAACATGCATGAATTTGTGAAACTTTTTCATGGCAAATTA